GTGTGTGTGTGTGTGCGCACGCGCGCGGGATCCACTTGAAACTGGCAGCCATGACCCAGGGGTTGGAAGACTATACTAAGTACAATGCATGCACTTCCCAAACCCAGACAGGCCACCAAACCCTGTGCCTCTGTCTCAGCGCTAAGGGGTAGAAGAGGCAACAAATGGTCCTTTACTGTGGAAGGAATGTGGAGCCGTGCCCCCAGCTCACTGCTCCTCTGACTTCTTCCTCAGTGTGGCAGGCCCCTGATTCTTCCTGCAGTTTATCACCCCCACTCTGGCACAAACAAGTCCTACTAGGGTTCTGAGTTCTTGCCACTTTCTGAGGCTAAATCCACCCAGCACGTTGTCACAGCCCAGTGGACTAGCATGACTTTCGGCAGACGGCAAGATAATTAAGGTCCTTCGGACTCTCCTGTGACACAGAGCGGGAGGTTTACAACTGCTTAGCGTGAGGACAGTAGCTGCCCATCCCTGGGGGATATGAAGTGCTTGGGCCCTCCTCTCTGAGGGAAATTGAGAAGAATGCATTTTCCAAAGTAACAGCTGCAGATGGATACCGGAGGCTTCCAGGAAGGGGACCTCAGCTGGCGTGGCAGCTACAGCCTACTACCCGCGGTCGTCCTCTGCTCTCCGTTGCTCTCTTTAGAAGCCTGATGGGGAAGTTGAAGGAGGTTATGATGGAGCCCGTCACCTCTGTGTCCTTAAACATTTTTGATGATCATACTGATTTTGAATGGTAATACTGATGGCTGCATTTCCTCATGTGATTGCTCATGATTTACTAACATGACCTGGGAGAGGGTAGAGTTCCAGAGGTTTCCATGTGGTTCTTCCTCCCATAATGCCTCTTCCTCCACAGGTCAGTGGTCTAAATATATTTATCCCAAATATATGCTTGGAGATTGGCGAAAGAACCCCAAGGTGGGACCCACTGTGAGACAGACTTTGGTGTGAACTCCACCCCTCACCTGGTTTCCAAAGACCCGCATCCCCACATAAGGCCATAATAGTGTTTAGGATTCCCTGTATCCGTTTCAGTGGAGACTTTTTATCCAACAGTCCTTAAAAATTCTGGGTACGTATATTGCATATACTCGTGCCCCAGGGCTCTTCCTCAAGAAGACCTGGCCTTCCCTATGCCTGTGCCCTGGGTCTGTAAATTAACTGAAATCTGGGCCCATGATTTTCCCGTCGTGACAGGCTATATCAGTCTCTGCTCACCAGCTTGCCTCTTTTCATTCTTTTTTTTTTTTGGTTATACGAGTCAAGCAACACTCTAGCTAGCTGTCACTCAGAACTCTGTGACCTATTAGCCCTTGTCACAAAGCCCGGCAGATCAAGGTACCTTGATTGCCACTGCAGCCTGACTGTCCATTCTATCATGTCCATCTTGCCTCTGACGCTGAAGTAGGAATACACAGCCTCTGCCGCTCTAGAATCTCATCACCCCTGCTGAGGGTAGCATGCCCGGTTCCATTTCCTACTGTCAAGGCCTGCTGGCAATGGGCAGCCACCACTGACCTTTTCACAGGTGCTGGGACACCCCTCCCCAGAACATTCTTTATTGCCTCAGTGAAGGCAGTGTCCTCCTGGACGATGTAGGTAGGTGCTTCTTCAGTCGACGTTTTCCTTAACACTGCTATCTCCGACTCACTCACTGTGTGCCTTCCTCAGGTCCAAAGCTCTGTAGCCAACCCAGCTGCACATGGGGACCAGCTGCGGGTGTCCTTCAGTCCAAGCCATGGCTAAATGCTCCTGTGATGGTGAACTCTCCCTAGCCAGCCTAATAGTTTTCCCTCCACCTCCACCCCTGGCCCAACACCCTCCAGATCCACTTGAACACATTTTGCCCTGGTTCCCGAGAGTACATATTACCCCGATTCTGCAACTCCTTCCGCAATCAAGCTATTTCCTCCCACACAGCGGTGTATTTCTCTGCGCAGGCTGTGTTGAAACCATGTTGAGACCTGACCTGATTCTGGGTTTACCAC